TCAACATCTAAGAAAAAGCTGAAGCTCTGAGATTAAGCCTCTGCCCAAATCTCACTTGATTATGCGGAAAATTGTAACTGGTACTATTATTCTTGGCGGGACATATCCAACTTGTTGAGGAAATGGTTGCGGTTGGTCCTCAACTTCTCTCTTTCCATTGAAACTAGAGAGCTCAATTTTCAAAGTAGAGGTCTCACTTCTTAATCAAGTAAGGGCAGATAATTCTGTGTTTAGATATGTAATTTGATTTTATTTCATTACGGACATACCGACCTTAGGAGGAAGTGACAAATTTTGTTCAAGATTGTTGAGATGTGACCTAATATTTGCAGACAAGATTTCCTTCCTTCACCAAATTTGTAAGAATGTCCTCTCCAATAGATGAAGCATCTCAATAGACTGATCATCAATGAGGATGGATGGGATGCTCGTCGGCAAGTTCCAGTTCAAACAACTTGCTCAATGAACACGCTCCGGACTAATATCCAACATGAACATACATAGATGCATAAGTTACTGAGACAGGACATGTGATGTTCCTTGATCTTTATGGAGTAAGAAGTTTGTAGGTTCATTGGTATATTTTATACATTGACTACTGCATATCATGACCTAACTATTTTCCAAAACTGTGGTTCAAGCCACTTGTCCGTCCAAAGGGTCAAACATGAGAATAGAAGTATTATTTCTTTAAATGTTCTGCATAAAATTGAATTGCAGAGGTTATTCAACTTGAACTTCTTTGGATTCGGCAGGGGCAGATAAAATAACAGGATAGTAAGAGTCGAGTTCAAGTTGTTGCAGGACCGTCTGCATAGCTGATAGGTATGAAGAGTGTCCATCAATAAGATGACTAGCATCAACCTGACCATGATTTGATATACGAAATTGTTCATTAAGCAGACGAAAAAGAAAGAAAAGAAAAGCATGAGAACAGTTTATGCACCAACATTTTCGATCCCAGGTAATTCCACGGCCTGAATGCCAGCCAGTCCTTGAGTAAGTAAACTGAATAATAGAAACCAGATCATAAAAATAATTAGGATGTTTAATAAAAAAAATTTGCTATGAGAAATAAATAGATAAACCTTGCACGGAAAGTCACTCCAAGAATCCAGTCATTTGTTGAGAAAACATTCACAAATCTCCCTGCAACTATCTGCAACAAAGCTCAACCAACTATAAATTAGAGAAAATACTAATGAGCTGGAAAGAAAGGTTGCTTATGAAACACTAGGAATTCCAATAATTTTCTCAGAGCGTCGCACTATGCAGAGGTATCAATACCTTTCTAGCACTCTCCCATTCATCACCTTTGGAAGAGATTGGCGCACCTAGAATAACAACCTTTTCTACGAGTCCCTCTGCAAACTAACCATTTTATCAGGCTAGTTCGAGCGACTTTATGAGCAGGAAACAAAAAACAAGTACCTTCTCCCGATTCAGCCATCTGCTGCAAACATTTAAATATAACTCTTGCTCCTAATGAAAATCCTATCAGAGTCACCGGTCTGGAGAATTCATCATAAATGTCAGTGAACTGGCAGGTTTGACACTTGAAAAATAGAAAAAGAAAAAAAAAAAGAGAAACTCTGAATACTATGCCTGTTGCCTTGAAGATTATTCGATAGCACTTCAGCAAGGAGAATTCCTGCTTTATCTGATCTGTAGTTAAAATACACCATGGTGGTCAATAAACTATTTACAAAACTAAAAAGAGAAAGATCCTGACACTTAAATCATTAATGGATATCGTATTTGCACCTATCAATGGCAATTGACCATTTGCTATCTATGAAATCAAGGGCTGAAAACAGTGTAGTTGGCCAAGCCAATGCAGAAACAAGAGTGCCTAACATAGTCATCATGGCACCTTGCTTCATCAATTCCATTGTAAGTTCTATGCACAAAAGACAGTGATGTTAAAGACGGTGAAAAGAATATCATGAAACGTTTAACGTATAGGAAGTTTACTTGATTTGAGCCAATCCTGAATTGCAGTGCTCACTGCAATAAGATTTTTTGATTCCCACTGAAGCGCATAGCTGAGAATTAATTTGAACTAATTAGAAAATTATCATTATTCACTGAAAGATAGAGGCAACAAAGGAGAATATTATATACTACTTTATCTTTCATCAATCAGGCCATGTACATATCTTTACTTTTCTTTTCTTTACATGTACATATGTTTAGAATATACTGTACCTCTCCAAGTTCTCATTTGTTCCTTCCCAAGGTCTGGTAAAATCTTCCTCTTCGGAAACAAAACCAGAAACTAAAATGCCAACAGCTAGACGCTGTAAATGAGATAACATTTCAAGTCAGGGTTTAATATAGTCAAGATAGATAGGCAACCTTCTTCATGTACAGAGTGAAGAAAATTAGACTTTTATACCCAAATAATAATTGAATGGTGCAAATAAAGGATCTTACACCCTGGTTATGATTTTCACCAAGAACTTTAAATTCAAATTCTTCAACGCTTCCAGTTCTTCTAGCCATTTTGCTTCCAGAAAGTCCAGCACCAGCAGCTGCATTTCACCATGCAAGCATACTGATCAATGTTCCCTGATAAAAGCTAGAGCACAATATAGGGTAATTGCAAAATATTCAGTTTATCACTTTATTAACAAACGTAGGTGCATAATCGGATACGTTGACCTTTCTACAAACATAAAGATCATTTGCAGCATATAGGGTGCATAAAGAGACAGCATTGCTTGATAGAAGCAACTAAACCAAAGATGTAACTGGCTTATGATCCTTGGTGAAGAATGACTTTTTCTTCAGGGTCGTTACATTATCTGATGCATGCATTTTCAAGATTTGAGTCGATGGATTTTATTGTGATCTTTTTCTCAAAGGAAACTTTTATGACACAAGACCTTTTCATGGAAAGTGATCATAAACATAGATCAAAATTTTGAAAGATATATATATATATATATATA